GCTCAGCATCACACACGGGCAGACACTCAGCTCTGCATCTACCAGTGGGTCAGGCTGTTTCTGCATTATTTTTTTTCATGCTGACCTCCAAAACCCCAGTGGGTTCCCAAGAGCTGGGGGGCTCAGGCCAAGCTCTGCGTGGCAGGAGGTGGCCCCCTCCCTGAGCACCCCAGTGTCTAGGGCCAGCAGTGATGGGGCTGTCGGCACACACATGCTCCCAAGGGGTTGTTCAGCCCGGGCTCCAAGGTGAAGCAGGGCTTGCAGCGCTTATCTCCTGACCTCTTGCTTCCTTGGAGCCGTGCCCAACAAAGCTGCAAACAGCCAGCCACGAGAGCTCAGCCACTTGCAGAATTAGAACCTCAAGGGAGAAACCAGCCACCGCAACCCCAGTGTCTGCCCAGACACCACCCTGCTTTCTTCTTCTTTCTAAAGGCAGCATGAAATAACTGCTCAAATACAGACAGCACCAGAGGTGAAGGGAGCTGGAAAGGCTGCAGGAGCTCCCAGAGCCCGCACCAGCCCCAGAGATGAGCTCCTGTGGTTGTTTCTGTTACTAATATTCACAGCAATAAAATCTCTAGGTAAAAGGTACAGATCAGGGGCAAAGGAGTTTCCTTAAGTCTTCTATCCCGATTAAAGGCAGAGCTGCAGTGTGTAATTACTGATCAGGAGCTTAGCAGTCTCATGTAGGCATGTTCTGTGGGATTTAGCCGAATAAAGAGGCACCCTTGCTGCTTCCTCATTCCCCTCCTGCCTGGCTAGCACGAAGGGAAAAAACACCCTCCTCTCCCTATAAATCCCTCAGCCTAATCAGCAGCCAACAGGACTGTTTGGGAAGGGGCAGAGGGTTCAGCTCACTCAGGGAGAGGAAGTGGGGGCTGTCCTGGCTAAATTTAGGGATGGAGAACATCGCAGAAAGCATCAACATTTTTCCCTTTTTTAACTCTGTTCTGGCTACACCACTGAACCATGCACTGGCACACACAGGGAATGACAATGATCCCACAGCAAGCCCAATCTCCTGGGAAGCACAGGTCCCTCCAGCCAGCTGCACCTCTGCCCTGGCAGGGATGCTGAGGGATCCCATCCCACCTATGTGTGAGCAGCCTTGGGTGAGGGGGCCTTCAATTAGAACCACCTCAAAAATCAAGCAAAGCCGCTGGAGGAAAGGCCGCAGGATTTAGGACAGGGATAACCCCTTCTCCAGCACAGCACAGCCACATTCAGCTTTGTGGCCTCTTTATCAAGGAGGAAACTCATCAGGCTTGATTCTTCAGGTAAGGGATGAACACAGAGTCCCTGACCACTGCCTTAGCTGCACCACATCTTCATTCCCTTTGCCTCTGCCTTCAACCCTCTGATGCAAAAACAGACCTTGATTTCCAAGGCAGCGCTAGCAAGCAGTGCTCATACCAATGGAAAACACCAGCCACCAGCAGGGAACAAGCTCCCATGTCCCCAGCTAGAGCCACACCACCCCAAATCCCTGTGCCCTCCCAATTCCAGGCAGCACCCACATCAGCAGAAGGCATAGCCAAGTGATGGAGCTGGAGGCTCCTGCAGATCTGACCTGTGGATCCACAGTTTTCTGAGTGAGGGCTTGAGTAGCAAGCTACATCCTTTGATACTGTTTCAGGAATCAAAGTGGCACTGATCACTGGGGGAGGAGAAAACAAATAGACCCACCCACGGGGCACCTTCTGCCTTTGCTCTTGTTTGACATATTTTTACGCGAGACCCGCTGCTGTTCATAGTGGGCTGCACTATGAAGCCCAAAGACCGCCCTGTTAGACATATTTATAACTATTGCTGCTGCCAAAGGCTTTTTCCTCTAGATCACACAACTATTCTGCCTGTGTGGGGCATCCATGGAGGAGCCTCAAAGGGGGTCACAGGAGACTGGCTGAGCTACACCTCACTGCTCATCTTGCTGCAAACAGCATCCACTTGCCTTTAGAGGTGAGGGAAACTGAGGCACAGAGCTGCAGTAACATCCGCCCACCTGTGCAGGGAGGGAGACTTGAGAAATGAGGAATGGGATAATGCTGTGCCGAATGCTCCAGAGCATCCATCCCCAGACACACAGGTAAGGTCCGTGCAGCAGCATCCAGCACCCGTTTGTCAGCCCCACCTCCTCACACACTCCTGCATCCCTTCCTGTTGCACACGAAGAGCTTTTGTCCCCGGCCCCAGCGCCGTGTGGTGCCACAGCAGGCGGCAAACCCCGCAGAGACCCCGTCGGACAGATTTCCTTCCACGGCTTCAGCTTTGAGTGAACAAGCTCCGACGGGTCACTGTGCCCAACAGACACATTCTGGTTGTTTGTTTATTTCAACTCTAACACAGGCTCTAACACAGAGAAATCGCTGGGGTGACAAGCATGCAGGGGGATGGTTCCCAACAAGGGGTCATGGATTGTCCCTTGGGGCCAGCCCAGCTACATCAACCTCTGCTCTCCCTGCGTCAGCCTGGGTGACATCCAAGAACAATGTGGGGCTTTGACATGCTGCTGCTGGATCTGCCGCTCAAGTTCTCGAAAAAAATAAAAAGTCATAAATGAAGAAAATTAGCAGCTCTAACGCAGCTGATGGGTCGCCTTGAGTTGTGCATCATGGCTGACCTTGAAAGTGCTAATACAGGCAAAGGCTTAATGGCTCTGCAGCTGCAAAAATCAGGAATGCCTTGAAAGCCGGTGTATGTTTACCACCACCCAGGCTGAGGTAATCAAAGAGTGAAAGGATTAAAACAACAACAAACCCCCTCATGCCCTGAATGTTTTTGCCACTTTATCTTTTTTGTTGTGTTTTGTTTTTGCATAAGGTCAACCTTTCAAAGGTTAATACAATCTCGGTAAATATAAATAGGCTTCACAGTTTATCTTGCTACATGTACTGCTGTTACTTAGAAACCGTTTGCAGGGAGGTTAATTCGGGCCACATGTCTCCAAAGCACACGCTGTGCTCCCTGGGCAAATCACCCGAGCCGAGCACAACCTCTGCGGCTCAGGCGGGGAAGGTGAGGGCTGTCTGCTGGGAGTCGGGCACGGATACAACCCCTGTGGAGCGGCACATGGCAAAGGTCGCTGATGCAAGGTGCCAACCCTCCTCCATCCTCCTCCTCCTCCTCCTCCTCCTCCCCAGCCCGTGGTTTTCTGGGGCACAAGAAAAGCATCACGGATGGAGACCTGAACAGCAGAGAGGTGAAGAAATCAGGCAGTTCCCAGGCAGGAGGAATGGAGGCTCCTTAGATAAAGCAACAGTGACTCTTGTGGGCAGTTTTAAGTATTGCTGGGCTGGGACGTCACACCACACCGGGTGGGGAGAACAGGCGAGCTCCCTGCCCTGTCCTCGGCGGTGTCCCTAAGGACAGGGCAGGCTGGGAAAGACACAGAGCCTGCCCAGCTTCTGGCGAGCTGGTGTTTGAAGCCTGCCAGATGGCACATCCCCATCCCTGTGGTCAACGATTCATCTAATGGATGGTGCCCATCTGCATTCCTGACTTCCCTGTGGCTGTGGGCTCCCTGGTGTACCCATGGGGAAGGACCTTGCTTCTGGTGGGCCCCTCAGCCTCACACAGCATCCCCCAGCACCAGCTGCCATCTCCCACTCGCCCACTTCAGTGCAGCCCCGCTCTAACGTTTCCCTCTGATGCCAGCTCTACTCCAGCATTAGGACACAACATGCAGTTACCTTCTCTGTGACAAAAGCTATTCCAGACCTTTGGTCACCAGAGGAGCTTTTCCTGCAACTTCTCTGCTCCTCCGCAGGGAGCAGGAGACAAGCCAGTGTGGGTCACACACCACAGCCTTCTCCAGAGAGACACTGCCCCGGTGAGCTCCTGCAGACGCCAGGCACAGAGTTGCCTCCATCCCGCCCAGAAAGCAGGATTCACACACTGTCTATAATTCTGGGTGTGATTCTGCGAGAGGTTTTTATCCTTGTGTAACTCATCCTCACCTCCCAGCCTCACTGCCCTGACAGGTGAGCCCACACCGGAGCAGGATCCTTGGAGCCAGCCTCCAAACCGCTGAGAGAAACCCATCTCCCTCCCCGAGCAAAGCAAAGTGAGCCCTGTGGGAGCAGCCGCTTCCACCTTCATTGGCTTGGCCCAAGGCTGCTTTTGTTTTATGGCTTTCACAATGGGGCCAGTTAAGGAGAGAACCTGTAGCTCTGACTTTTGAGTCACTTGGCTCAGATCCCCACGAATGACTTGGACACGATCCTTCCGGAGGCTGCGATACTGAAAGGATGTGCGTGCACACATGCGTGTCGGTGCTGGTGTGTACCCACGTGTGGACACTGCCAAAGCCCTGGGATAAGGCTCCCAAAGGATACAAAGAGCCGATGCACTGCGGCACACCTGGCTGAGCCTGCCGAGACCTTCAGCCGGTGCAAGACGAGATGAAAGGAAGTTTGATATTTGAGCAAAACTAATCAGGGGTATTTAATTACACAGGAACGTCTTTCATCAAACAGCCAAGGCAAACAAAGTAGGGACCAAGCTGCAGAGAGCGATGGGAAGGAGGCAGCGAGCAGCTGGCAACGCCATTGCACAGCGAGACGGATCATGCAGGCAAGGGTAGGAAACGGAGGGAGCTCCTGGCAACTCCAGCCAAACAAAGCACAGGGAGATGGGAGATCTGCAAATGAGGGGACCCGAGTAGCACAGCAAGAACGCTCCAAGGTGAAACCAGCCAAGAGGCAACGGAGACCAAAACAGTTCTGTCCTCCCCCCTGGTGAGGCCGCTCCTGTTCATCACTGGCGCCAGGATCTGCAGCCACAGCTCAGGGCAGTCACCGATTCCCTGCAGCCACAGCACGCCCTGCAGCGAGGGCAGGGAGCAGGTCACCCTGTTCACGGGTCACTGCACGCATTCCCTCGCTCCCTCTGAAGTGGCTGGAGCACAGAGCTCCAGCTGCTAACACACTGTAACCTACTAACCCCACGGCAGGGCACGCTCCTGGAAAGCCAGCTGTTTGGAGCAGTCCCTTCCCATATTCAGCAATGTTTTCTGGGGAAGAAAAGGGAATCAGATCTTTAGTTAACTTACCCCAGAGCCCTTGAGCATTGGGATGGGCTAAACTCCCAGCACTATTGTGCCTCTGAGAGGAGAGTGGCAGAGGTTCATAAGTCTGGATGTACAGTCAGGTAGGCTGTTTGTGCCCAGAAACAACGCTCAAGAGAAAGCAGCCATTCTGAAGCCATTCCCAGGCTCTCAAATCATGTCCTCTGCAGCTCCAAACTGCACTCAGCATTGGAGGTCCAAACTCAGCATCGTAACTCATGAAGCAGTTTACGCTGTCAATTCACTGGTTCACACACTGAGGCCAGTGAGATGCTCCAAGGAGATGCCTTGGCAAACACGGACACCTTGTTATCAGAGCTTGCCCTGGCCAGACCCCCAGCACTGCCTGCCCTGTCCCTGTGCCATCTACTTGTGAAGGTGCTCAAGTGACCCCTTGGGCAGCAGCTACATCCACAACCACAGTTCCTAACACCAGATGGGAAATTCCTGCCCATCCCCTTTAGCACCTACGAGCTCAGGACCAAAATGAGACAAAGGCAAGTGCAGAAGCACTTCTGACCATCAGTCAGGAACCCATCCTACGCCTCTGTCTTCCCCTGAAGCCCAGGTGGACACTTTCACTGGCAGGAGGAAGAAGCAGAAGGTAGCAGTGTGTGTCTCCATCATTTAGTAATTCATCACCAGGTAATGCTGCTGCCTTGGTGCATGCCAATAGAGAATAAAAGAGATGAGAAACCTTGAATGGGATGAGCGGGGAGCTGCTAGGTGAATTTCTAATGAGGAAAATGTCTACAAGCACTAATAAAAAGACCTGAAAGAGAATGCATTAGTAATGACAGGGTTTGAAAGAACATTTGTGTTACATGTCAGGCTTCAACTATGAATTTAGAGGCAATCCAGTGCTACTAAATCCCCTAAACAGCAAGTAATGAAAAGATGTTAAAATTTCCCAATGTGACAAGTGATTTTGAAAGCCACAGTAGAGAGACTTTCAGAAGAAAGCTGTTCTGCTCTTTCGAGGCGGGGGGGGGAGCTTTCGAAAATAAAAAGATATTCAGAAGCCTCGAAATCTCTCTTAAAATCCTGACTTCAGATTTTGATCCTGCTGAGGTAAAGTTCCCCCCCTCTCCCTGAGAAGCTCTCAGCTGCAGACAGCAATCCAAATGTGCAAATATTAACCGTACACTCAGCTCTGCTGCCACTGGATCCGGACACATGAGAAAACCCAAATCACACCAAGCTCTCAATCTGTTTTAACTTTACACTCAGACCTTGGTTCTCCAACACCTCTCCAAGCATCTCAAGGGGATGCAGCCTGGTTTCACCCTGACGTTCCTGAATTTCAATGGAACAGCAAGGAGAAGCTCTCAAAGGGAAGGTTGAAAGCAAACCCTGTGAACAGCACCTTGCACACACTTACCCTGGGCCCTTCACTTTTCCTTTTTGTGTGCTTTTTCAAGGCTCAGAAGCTCACGTTTTGCTTTCAAATACAAATCTCACAGAAGATGATTGCAAGATGACTGCTTTGGGAAGGGGGGGAGGAGAGTCCTACCAGGCTGTTTTTCATGGCTGACCGAGCAGGAATTTCCCGCCGTAGAGACGAAGGCCCCCTTGGAGACTATCTCTCCAAACAGACAGCAGGTAATTGATCCTGCTCATGTGAACAACATCTTGTCATTTTTCAAACACTTGGAGGAAAGAAGGTTAATATCTTTAGAGTCAGGAGTCTGGGGAATACGTAAAGTCACTACCATGGCAGGGCAGGAAGGGCATCTCTCATCCTTGTACATCCATCTGGCAAAGCACTGAAATAACAGACCTTGACCAGATGCACTGGTGCTTCACTGGTGCACCACTAAGTGCCTTCTGCATTTGTAGTATTTCATCAAAATGTAATAAAAGGGTCTTTGTAACCTCCTCAACTGATGCAGAATTACTCAAGTGGTCTCCAGTTGTGTTCACGGCTGTGACTCATCTTGAAGGAACTTGCTGGTCTGTTGTAAAGCCAAAAAAATTTTCACCTTGAAAAACAGCCAGGGCCAAGCCAGCTACAGGGGCAAAACTCACCCCATCCCTAGAAAATGAGGGCACTAAACACTGCCTCGCTCTCTTCTTTCCTGATGAGAAAACGGCAGAGCCCTTCCCTCCGACAGAGCAGGTATTTCAAACAGAAAGGACACAGTGCCATCAAAGGTAGGTCAAGTCTTTGGAACAAACCACTCAAGGGTGCCTTGGATCCCGTGGCAGATGTAGCATACAAAATTAACCATGTTTGCTCGAAGCCTGCACTCACAGGTGAACCGAAGGGACCGCGCAGACGGGTAACAGAGCACAGCCAGGCAGCTAAATAGGACTTAAAAGCTTTTGAAGCTGCAAACACTGGAATGAACTGGGGCATGAAATTAATTTTAACTGTACTGAATAGGAGACAGGCCATAAAACTCCATGAAAATAAGAGACCGGTAACATTTTAGTAAGAGTAGAAATTCTGCCGGTAACTCCCCAGTCAGCTCTATTAGCATACGTGACTCATCCCAGCTGAAAAGCAAAGCAAACAAGAAGGGAGAATTAAATGAGTGTTGCAAGGCAGAGAGTATGGCTGTGGAGAAATCGAGGAATCCTGGCTTTGTGATATTCAAATGCCTTCCCACTGACATTTGCAAACATTCAACTGAGAAAAAAAAAAAAAATCCACACCAGGAAACGTTTTAAAAGAAACCAAACCCCAACCTATAAAAGGTATTTGTGATAGTTAACAGCCTGGCCATCTTGTGCCCAGGTATGAGGCTCCAAAACCACCCTCACATGGCAGCAGTTTCCATTTAGCACAACACAGCCAGGGTGCAGCGAGGGTTTGTGGACAGAATCAAACCCCAGATGATTCTCCATCAATCTGCCAAAAGGCTTTTTCATCGTGGCTAAATCTGCATAGGGTGAAGCTGTTCAGAAGAATCTGCATCCAATTACACCTTGGCAAAATATAACCTGTGGTGTCCTGGCAGCTGTCCTGGTGCTCTAAATGCATCTGGCTGGTGTGTCCCAGCGCCCTGAGGATTTACTCCATCTCCTATGGAAACAGCCACCTCCAGGCTACAGAGCAGAAGCTGCTCTTCTGAAGCAGAAAGGCATAAACATATTAAGAACGAGGGAAAGACAAAAAATAACTTCAAATGCATCCCATGGAGAAGTTATATATATGTGAACATCCAAGCATGACTTGGTCAAAACAGGGAAGTTTAGTATCTTTTCCTCTTGGTCAAAGGACCCTGAATCATTTGCTTGGAAGAATCACTGAAATCTTGATTTCCTATCTGCCCCCCAAGCATCCAAATGTGCTTTTACGTGCAGCAGGGACACAGAGATGGAAAAAAAGCACACACCAATTTCTCTGCACGTCCATCAACAAGTAGCAAAGTGCAGATCAGACCCCAGGACCTCTGAAGCAGACCTGTGTCCAAAAGCAGCCAACATCTGGAACCCAGATCGCTCAGGGGCCTTTCTCTGACCTAGATCTGTAACTGCGCTCGGCTGGCATCAATAACCAGCTGAAGGCAGCTAATTGCCAGGCTTCTGGAAGGAGGAGACGGAGGCTTTTCATTAAAATGTGTGGTTTCCTTCCCGTATTTTTGCAGCATTAATCACAGCGAACATTAACCCCAAGCCTGCCTGCTTCAACCTCTCCTTGGTCTGTCACCACCACCGCTACAGGGACTGCTGCTGCCTGGGGTGGGGATAACCCTACGGATGCCTGCAGGGGCAGGGATGGAGGGGAGCACGTGCTCCCATGGCATGGGAAGCTGGTTGGACTGGCCTTCACCTCTTGTCAACAGTTTCGCTCCTGACCTGCGCACTCAGTTCCCTCTTGTTTGCGCCCGTCTTTCAGGCAGCAACCCAGGACAGGAAATTGTTTAAATCACAGGAAAATGTGATCACAAACCCACAAATATTGGCAGGGGAATGGAGAGTGGGTGAAGTATTTGGATCTACTTTTAACTCGTTCTTTCAAGGACAAAACTTGCAATCAGCTTGAAATCGCCACCTTCGGTGCCTGGATTAGGATGGCTACAGGGCCAGAGATGGCTTGAGAGGGTCCCCAGGAGCTGGTGACTCCCACACACCATCACTGCCAGGGGTGACAACCAACAGTACAGAGAACACGTCCTTGGGCCAGCACCTGGTACTGCACAAGATGGTTTATCAGCTGTCAGCCCACTGAACCGACAGGCACCCCCTGAGCCCCGTGGGAACCGAGGGGCTGGGGGTGATGCTGGGTTTGAATGTTTTACAGCGAGTGCATTGCTGGGATGATCCAGGAAGCCTTGGGTGGAGCAGGAACGGAGCGGGGCCAGGCACTGAACAGGTCACATCACCAAACCCTCCTCAGTGCAGCCCTTGGGGACAAGACAGCCCCTAAACACCACCAGCTCCCACCACGCTCCCCTAGAGCAAAGGTACAGGAACTCTTCCCCTGTAATTCCCCAGGATCAATTAACATACTGCTGAAAAGCAAGAGATTATTAACTTTTGTTAATAGATTATTAAAGATGATTATCACCAGCTGACCGAGCCCATACCAAAATAGACACGCTGCAGGCAGCTCAGAGCAATCATCAGTTCATTCAAGGCAGATAAAAAGTTTCAGATCTGGTTTGACTATTTAAATTTCCAACAATAATCACAATTATTGCTATTCTCATTATCTGTTACATTTCTTCTATGTTCAGGAAGTCACTCTGGTTATTAAACACATGCTGATGATTAAATCATGTATTGAGGTGATAAGTCAAATTAGATGATTGCTAAGTCTCAGTAAGTATCTTTGAAATAACCAGTTGTTATTAGACATTCAAGTGGTCCTTCATGAAAATCTAATTGTAATTGCAACTTTCCATTTTACCTCATCTTTCTCTCATGCAAACACACACACGCACACATGCTGGCAGCTGATTTTGTACTTCAGTATTGGTGAAATACAGAGGAAAGCACTCAAGGTGAGTGTTCTCAGGGAAAACATCAAAGGACCAGACAGGACCTGCATCCACCCCCCTGAGGAAATCAAACAGCATCTTCAGCATCCACCTGAAGCTACAGCTCCTGACCACTGGGCTCCTGGAGCTGGTTTGTGCTTCAGGCACCCAGAGCAGCTCTGATAGGATGCTCACAATTCCTCGGCAGTTTTAATCCGGGTCTAGGAGCGAGCTGGCATCCCTCCCACTCCAGCCTAATACCCAACCTGACATTTAAAAGAGCTTTATTGCCACATACTTACATTTTAATGTTTTCATGGTACTGCCTGGTGTCTGAAGGCTGGTTGTATAATGGCTGAAATAAATAAGAAAAAATGAAAAGGTATAAAAGGTACGGTCTGACATTTAGGAACTTAAACCCATCAGAAGCGCCGCCGCCTCGGTGCAGGTTCCCAGCCCAGGCGCCCGTCCCCGTGCCCCCAGCCCCGCTCCCGGCCGTACTGGAGGGTGCTGGCTCCCGGCAGCGCCGCTCGAGTCCCGGTGCATCCCGGCTCAGCCCGTGGGAGGGCAGGCGGTGCTCGAGCGAGCCGGCTCAGAACAAGCAATTTGCGACGTCGTCCAGATAAACACGGCACGGCGAGTACGTGGCTGTTATTCACCGACTGAAAAACGCAGTGCGCCTCGGAACATATGACACGGGGGAGGCGAGGGGAAAGGGGGGCTTGGGGAGGGGGAAGAGACAGTCTGTGTGCTGCAAGTTGTTATGTCTACACGGCAAAAGCCTGCCTGAGCCCTCCCAGGAAGCCAAGCGCAGGCAACTGCAGGCAGGACAAGCATTCACCCCTGGGGTTTCCAGCAATTCCAGGGTTAGGTTGGCCCCTGTGCATGTCCCGCAATCCCCAGCACCCGTATGTAGAGCAATGTTTGTCTGTCCCTCAGGAGGGGCAACTGGGCTCCAGAGGACGAATGTTTTTCCCAGGGTTGCCCCTTGGAGAGGCCAGTGATTGTGGCTGTCTCCAACACCAGATGTGAGCACCCATCGTGGGGCTGCTCTGCTCCCAACATCCTCAGTGCCAGGGACATCCATGGGGAGTCAGAAGAGCTGGATCCATCCCTTGTCACCTTCAGCTGGTCACTGCCCTGCTACCTCTCCCCTCCCACCCTTGGGAACCTGCCACAATACAGGGTCCCACCTCTGGAAGGGAGAGATACCACAGAGGCCACGCTCAGTTCCACCCATTGTGATTAACAGCTCAGGCCACACTCCAGGACCTGCCATCAATTGTGTCCACACCAGCAGACTGACAAGATGCTCAGGATTAAGGCCTTCAACACTTCTAGTCACTGTCTAAGCTGCTGTGAACATGTCCAAAGACTGGGCTAACCAAAAGCTTGTCATGGCCTAACCATCACCAGCAACTGGGCACCTAATGACCACAGCTCAGGTCCAACCACAGAAACACCATGAAAGTACTAAGGCAATTCATCCACAAAACTTCCCCAAGCCAGCTGCGAGCATACAACATCTGTGGCCAAACACAGGCATAGGGATGTGTGACATCCAATTCCTGGCTGAAGGCAGCACCCTGGCCATGGATGCTGACACACCACCCTCCTACTGCGGTCATAGGGCTGAGGCTACGCTCAGGGTCCACTCGATTTCATCTCAGATTGAACACAGGAAAAGAGCAAAACATCCACCGAGCATTTGCTCAGTCAGGTGAGCAGCACTGGAGGGGACAGGACCTGCAAACAGAGGTGGGTTCCCTTCTCCTCCAGTTTGAAGAAGGTGTTACTCTCACCTCCTACGTGGTATCTCCCCATCACAGGTGCTCGGCACAGAAGCTTGTTTTTCAGCACAGTCAGCCTGTCTCTGCTGCTCCTTAAAACAGATACTGCCTCACTTCTCCCCTGCCACACACCGGGACAGCCACATCGATCCGCACAGAACACAGACTGGGTGTAGCTCTCCCTCCTCTCTGCAGCCCATCCCTGCTACACCTTGGCACCAACAAGTCATCAGCTCCTTTTCCTGGCTGCCCTTGGACATGCCCCTCCTCGCTGGGAAAGCACACGTAATCCCTGGGCGGAAGGGGCACATAAGAAGCACGTAATCCCCAGGCAGAAAGAGACGGTGAGATGAGCTGCCGTGTTCCAGGAGGGATGCAGGGCTAATAGCAGCATCCGAGCATCCATTACCTGGTGAGGGGACAACAGGCTGCAAGTCTGCCAGGAGACACCTGGCCACCCTGTGCTGGCAGAGCCAGCGCAGATGAGGGGGACAAGCCGGTTCTCCTGACGGAGACATTCTCAGTTGTGTCCCTTCCCCAGGGGTGTTTCTATCATGAATCCTCTCAGAGCTGCTGGTTTGACTCCAGGCTCAGAGCTGGCTGTGCACTTCACGCTTGGAAAGCTCAGAGGAACACAGACATCCGTCTCATCACGTAGCTCGAGAGAGGCAGGTCTGCACCAGGGAGAGAAGAAATCGAGCCGCAGCTCCAGAGCATCACATCCACAGTCACCCTGGAAAGGCTTGACCGGAGGAACCGCTGGGTGGCCTTGACCAGTGACTGTCTCTTGGAAGAAGACTGCAGGAACTGGAAATACTGATAAATAGAAGTGGTTCTCTTCCCTTTCTGCTCACAAAAATCAAAGAAAAGAAGCTGGCATATGGTGGGTCACAGAGACCTTCCTCCTGGGAGAAGCAGTGGAATTAACATTTTGGTTTGGACCTGGGTTAGAAGATGCTCGTGTGCACACTGGGATCACATTAGGGATGCCCTGATGGCACCCAGCTCTCTAAAAGCTGATTATTCCTTTCCATTACAACCTCTTTATAAACAGCCAGTTAATTTTTAGTAAGAAAACCTAAGTGTTAGCAGACAAACACTGGAACACATCAATTTTAAAAAAATGCCCAAACACTCAGAAGTAAGGAACTCTGGGACCCAAACACAAGATCCATATGACACCAGCACCTCAAAGAGATTTCTGTCTGCACAACAGCCTCGGCACCATAACTCAACCCATGCAGCGGAGGAAGCCTGGGAGACAAGTTCTAGCTACCCAGAGGGAACTTACCCTCACAGATTAAATAGTTATAGAAACTTTATTCTCAACATGCTGTAAAACAGCATCTTCCCTCAGAGCTGTCTGCAATCTGCACAGAATTCCACCTTTCCCACTGCGTATGGAGAAGTAAAGCTGACAGGTCAGATGGGTAAAGTGACATGTTCAAAACATCCACAATGCTCTTCCAGGGTTAGGGACATGTAATGCATTTCTCTGGGGAATGACATTTAAGAAAAACATAATTGCAATGCAAAGCTATTACTGGGAAAGCCCTGGATTTACTGAAAGCTCTTTAGAAATAAAACAGAACAAAAGGTTTCAATTGCTTTCTGCCCACTGCAGGGTTCAGACAACACATCTCAAAGACATTTCTCCCTGAGGAAAACATGGGGTCATTTTTAAATGGTACAGCTACACTGGAGGGATGAAATGAGCAGAGTCCTGGTTTACTGACTAAATCTCCTCCTGACGTAGATGGACGCTTCCCAAGACCTGAACTGGATCCCTGCTTCCTGGGAATTCCAGCTCCATCCTGCCAGCAGCACTCAGGACCCCGTAACCTCCAGCATCTCTGCCGTGACCAACCGATTTCCACTGCGACCTGCACGTGGTGTGTGACACTGTTAGAGCAGGCGGGCGCATCGGGCAGAGAGTGCTCTCCTTCCTGGAGCTGCTTCCTTTCCAACTCAGAAAAAGATATGACTATCCATCTTGTCTCTTGTAGGCCGTTGGCAGGTCCCAGTGCTGCTGTGCCTGGCATGGCGTGGGGGCTGGGCCATAGGAAGTGTCTCTCTCTGGGCAGACACGTGAGACAGTCTGCGAGACGCACAGAGAGCCCAGCCGGGGCTTTGCAGGGTTTTCTCAGAGAGGTTTTTTTCCCCTGCCCTCCAAGGAGGAAGGGAGGGTGACAGTGGAAGGGATTGCACTGGGCTCTGCTGCAGCTCTCCTGTGCAGTGTCAGCACCCAGGGACAAAGCATCAATAGACTCAAAAAAAGGAAAAATGGGAGGAAAAAAACAAACGGGAGGAGGAAGGAAAGGAAACGCAACGTCTTTCAGATGAGGAAGCACCAACCCCAGGCACTGCCAATCTTCAGAGCAGAAAGAGCAAAAGGTTTGACCCTGGTGACTCAGAGGAAAAATAATGAGTGTTACCTCCCCGAGAAGGAAGTGGGCTTTGACACGTACAGTAATTCCCCTGTGACCTCTCCCTTACGCACCAGGGAAGACAGCGATTTGTACCACCTCCACAAGGCAAGTCCAAATTACAGCTGCTGAGGCCTGTGAGCTGCCTGCTCCCACCTCACAGGAATGGCTCCCTCCACTGCACCCCATGGCTGATGCAAAGCAGCAGATGCTCTGTCAGAGTGGGTCTGATCCTTCCACCGGCATTGCTGCCAACACACCTTTTCCAGGCATCCTTCTCCAGGACTCAGCCCCTCAGGGGTTGTTTCCAGCCACCCCTCCACCAATCAGTCCTCTGATTTACAGACAGATTTTGCTGGATGAAGGGGTAGCCCAAAATTGGGAATTTATTCTAAGTTGTTCTCAGATTCCCTGTGCATGAGGGAGATTGAAATAGGAAGCGTGCGAGTCCTGATACCTGCAGGTCATCGCAGCTGCGGCCGAGCTGTGCTCACAGAGCACCCTCCAGCACCCTCCTCCCTTTACAGCGGGTGGGACAGAGGAGAGTCCAAGCACCCAGCCCTCCATACAGCACCTCAAGGTCGGCTGCCCAGGCAGCAGCCCCACAGCCCCAGTGCTGCGGCTGCCACCAGCAGACAAAGCCATCAGAATCCCGAGAGGAGGCAGACTGTGCTGGAGCCCCTTCCACCCTCCAGATCCTCTGCAGCGCGCGAGGAGGGAGCCAAAGGGTTAAGGCTCTCCGAAGAGGGCTCTGTGTGTGTGTGTGTGTCTGCCTGTGTTTCAGTACTCATCTCAGTCACTTTGCTTCCTGCCTTGGTGCTGTGCCAGCGAGAGGTCCAGGCCAGCAGCAGGCTTCCTTCTGACAGACAGACACACACACACACACAGGGTGCTGCGATCGCTCACCACCCAGGAACCTCTCCAAACCTGGCCCAGCTCCCACTCCCCACAGCCAGAGGTAACACTCACCAGCTCCACCTGGGGACCCAGTCCTTCCAGGATCCGGTGGGCAGCCTCCGCCTTCTTCTGCAGGGAGGAAAGAGGACAGAGAGAAGAAAAGTTATTTGTGCCATTACAAGTCGCAGCCCTCTGCTCCAGCTCTCCCTTCTGCTAAAACCACTTCCAAAACATCCACAGAGCCGTCAACAAATCCCACCCCTGCCTGAAAGTGGGTGGAAAGGTCCAGCTCAGCCCCTGGACCCGCAGGAAAACCCCGCGGGCGAAAGGCTCCGGCAACTTGAGTTATCATGACTTTAATGCATCCAAGCTCTGCCCGGGAAGTGACCCAAATCCCCGACCCCTCTGGGTGCCAGGCGGGGGATCATGCCCCGTTACCTCCGCACGGCCGCCCTGCGAGGAGGAGGGCGGGCAAGCCGGCACGCACGCAGAGATGCCCTTTCTAGGATTCATCGCTTCACGAGCATGTGATCGTTAGATTTGAGCTGCCCTTGGCTCCTCGTCATGCTCTCGCTTCCCTCCCCTCCCTGCCGCAGAGGAGCCCTTCTCCGTCCCCCTCCCGCCCCTGGCCAAGCTACCTAGTGCTTATTAAAGGGAAAAAAACCACCCAGGAACACGTGTCGGGGGCTGTGCGGTGGTTACTAATTAAACAGGCCTGAAAAAAAGACATGGGTTGGCTGCAGCAAGAGCCTAAATAAAAGATGACATTTTCAGTAAACAGCACTTCCTCGCAAAGCCAGGCTGTTCAGGGGGGGTTACTGACAGTCCGATAAATCCAGATTGCTGCACGCTGCCGACGCCACAGGCTGAGCTCTTAAAGCCAAATACCTGACAGCGAGGGGGATAAGGAGATGGATTTTCAGAGGTGCAGATAAAATAGGTAGTTTTAGTTATTTCTGGGTAGGGGAGAGAGAAAATCCACAGATGCCTAAAACAGGGAGCTGAGCCTTGGGGCTGGGAAGCAGGGTCTGGTCTCATGGCAGAGCTGTGAGGTTTGGCAAACCCTGGGTGAAGATCCCCCAGGGCAGGGAAGGGATTTCAGCTCCAGGGGTCCATCTCAAAATGCTCTCCAGCAGCAGAGACCTCTCACCTTCACTCTGGTTCAGGGCAGGATGAGTTTCCCAGGGTACCAGCACAGGGATGTCTCACCAAAGGCTGGCACATGGCCCCGCCGCTTGGCCCCGCATCCACCCTAACCCCCCGCCGGCGCCGGGTCCTCAGAAGCCCTGGTGCAGCTGTAGGTGTGCAAGCACCTCGCCAGGGCTTCGCACACCCACACACAGTCTGATCTGCCAGCGTGCACTTTAGCAGAGTCGGCCCCGAGCAGCTGCGTGAGTCACCCTGCCCCCAGTCGGGCTCAGCGCCCTGGAAAACAGCCCCAGTCGAATGGTCCTGGCCAAAACCAGCCCCAGCCCAGCTGCAAAGCCTGTATCAGGTGCCTCACCACAGCAAGGCGACCAGGAGATGTCCAGTTCCTCTATTTACTGTAGGGTTGGGATGACACAAATCTTGTTTACAATTTAGAGGCAACTTCAAGGAGGCTGAGAGAGACGAAACCACACAGCGAGCCCACTCTGGCACCATCCCCACATGTATGCACAAGGCAGGCAGCAGCCCCGCTGTTAAGGCATCCTTGCCTGGTTATCTGCAGGGCTCCCCACACCAGACCATGGAGTTCACAGGTGTCACAGTCACTGCACGAAGTTTCCCCCACTGCCCACCTGACTCCGTCAATGGGAATGAGCCAAGTCCGCCCAGGGACCTGCCCCTTGGAAAAATTAATCACACAAGAATGGCTCTCTCTGAGCCAGAGCTTAATATTTTGGTCTCCATGAGCTATAAAATCTGCTGACCTCGGAGAACACCAGCACTGTGGCATTCAGAAGTCTTACAGAATTAAAACCAAGGGGCAAGATTTTCAGAAGGGATCATTAAAACTGCTGAAACCACTCTACATCTGTTGCCAAGGGGGTGATCTGGCCAGTGCCCTCCAGCCCGCCATTGGCTGCTGGTGAGTAGGAAGCATCAGCTTACCCAAATTTTTTTGATGCATTCCTGGGACAGAAAGCAGCAAACCAATTAATGGTAGTTAGCATAATTACAGGCAGAGGATTTCAGCTCCGCTCAAGGCAGGCAATCCCACCATGGGCCTGTTCTCCTGGGCATCAGCACTGGTGGAGGATGCCCTGGCAGAGGTGGATGGCACAGCAAGGGACCAGTGATGCTGCAGGCCCGTGTGTACAATGTGATTAACTTCGAGAGAAAGCTGAGTATGTTCAGCTGCTGCATTTGCCATGTTTAGACAACTTAATGAGACAAGCCAGAGGCAAATCACCATAGGCAGAACATGTGGCGAATCAAGAAGAATGGCATAATTTGTCTTGCATTAACCGACTGCAATATACACGTCTCCAGAACGAAAGATCAGGAGGGGAAGCTATTCCGAGCACGTCATATCTTTGTACGTACACAAAGAAATGCCTCTATCTTGAAAGCTGCCCAATTAACACTTGACACCCACTGTAATTGCTGATGCTCCTTGCTGCATTTATCAGATCATAGCAGAACCATAACGAGCTGTCTGAAAGGCCCAGCAGAGCGAGGAGGTGAGAGCTGGAGGCAGAATTGGGAAGGACATAAAAACACCCCGCAGAAGGTTCCCACCACGCTGGGGATCATCCGTAGGGGCAGACAGACACAGGGAGATGTGCTCCTCCCTAAGGAGCCAGTGAGCCAGAAGCCTGACTGGAGAACTTACACAAACCTCAAACTGTTCTGATGTGAAAGCAACCCCACCAGACCTCCTGCAGCAGCAGGACCTTTGCTGAAGACCACCAACAGCCCTGGTAAATCCTTTACTTTCCGAAGGCACAGCCATCGAGGACTTGGTTCCAATGCTGATTTCATTAGGAGTACGTTTAGTGAGGGACCTTGCCGAAGGAAACCTACAACATCTGAATGACCCCACCCCATGCCTGAATTCCTATTATTTAACAGAAAGAAATGTATTGGGAAGCAAAACCGAGCCAATACCTCTGGTGAGACACATAAAGATGTACAGTCCCTCTGCAGTTCCACAGCCAGCAGGCAAAGACCCCTTTTCTTGATTTTGTACAAAATCCTGAAATAGTGATCCAGCACCGGAGCACTGCCGTTCAGGGAGGGACCAAAGCCCTGAGCCTGAATTTTGCTCCCATTTACATCAGACTATGAAAATCTCCATTCTCGCCTAAGAACATTTGGCTTCCAAAGCAAACTCCAGCCCCTTGTTCTTCCTTTGAAGAAACTTAAAATAGGCTTGGGAGGGGGAAAGCAAGCAGGAGAGTAACTTCCCAGCCATGTGAGCTCCCGTGGGGATGACGAGAGGACCCCACGAGGCAGCGGAGCATCCGAAACCAGAAGAGGGAGAGTCTGGGATTTTGCGTGGGCTCCTCTTAAAGCAAAGTTTAAAAATGGAAGAGAAGGAAACACAGGAGTTATTTTGAGAAAGCGGATCTGAAATTAGGAGGCAGCATTTTCTTGGACCAACTCCAGCCCATGGCTCCATGCAGCACAAAGCTGCTGCAGCTGAACCGTGCTCCCGGGGTTATTTATAGCAGCCCGTAGGCAGCAGCGCTGGGGAATGGAAGGGTTTCTATTTGGGATCAGGCATGTCCCACATGGAGATTTGCAAAGCCCTTCCAGGGGCAGGAGGCCGTGCACAGGGCAGCGCTGGGAAAAGTTCTGTCCTGCCAGCACGACGTCCTAGGAACAGGCAGAGCTGTGGGGGCAGCGTGGCAAAGAGGCAGGCTGGAATGGAATTTTGTTTGACACAAAATTCAGGAGAAGTGTGGCTGAAGTCATCAGAAATCGTGAAAACTCCCAAGTGAGACACCTTTTCACATGCAGCAGAAAGCAAAGAGTAAGAGGGGGGTGGTCCAAGGCCCTACCTCTGTGCCGAGATCTGCTGGGACCAAACCACAAGCTGGCAGTGCCTGTTCCACAGGGAAAGTCTATCATTCCTATTACCACAGGTACTAATTTTTCCCCCTTTAAATCTCAGCATCCCCTCTCACAGAAAACTTGCAAAAACCCAAGTCTTGGGGCTGCAGCAGTTACAGGAAAGCTCCAGTTGCCCAGTGCAAAGAACCAGGGCTGTGTTGCAAGGTCTCCCTTCCTCCCTTTGACAGATTTGGGATCTCTGCAATTCTCCTCTTGATTTCCAGGACCTGAAAATGCAGGACACAGCCTTATCTGGTCTGGGTTAGTCCTGGACAAAGCTTCTAAGTAAATGCACCTACTGGGAACTTCGGATCCTGAAGCAGACATTAAAAACAGACATCACTACCATTAAAAAATAATTTCCTTAAAACCCAATAAAACCTTAAAGGATTCTCATGACTCCAGGCTATTTGTTTAGATTTTATCTTTTTGGAAATCTCGCTACCATACAGATGTGTCAATAGCATCTGAATTCTGGCCTTTCCAGTTTTCCTCCAGACTATTTGGAAGCTCATTTTGCATCACTGAGCCCCGATGAGGCAGAATAAAAGTTATTAGAAACAAAAGCAAAAGGAACAAGGCCCTTTCAGCAGCCAAATATGAAATGCCCCCATCCCAGCTATCACATAAACTATAATTTGAAAAAAACTCTGCAGATTTAATACTCAAAAGCACTTTCACTGATAAGGTTTTATTTACTGTACCAGCTCCGTGCTGACAAGGCAGGCCCGATTCTTCCTTTTCTCATGTAAATCAGCAGTTCATAGAAAATCAGAGTTCTACAGACATAAAATCCCTGTAGGATCTGAGTCACACTCAGTGTCTGTGATTAGTTAACAGTGAGATTATACTTTGCAATGCTGAAAGACTTCATTTATTTATTCTCTTATTTATGGATGGGGCATTAATGCTTTATGAGGGTATTTGAGGAGGGTAAACGGATAGCTGGGAACAGGCTCCGCACAGACACAACAGCAGCAGGGGGTGGAAAAAGTTCCAAACAATCCTTTGAATTCCAATTTTACAGCATAATGCTGAATTTATAGATAGATAGCTGTGCCCTTTTGAAAGAGCACGCATCAAGACAGAAAACGAATTAAAATTTAATCTTATTGATTTCCACCAGCTCAATCTCAAGAGCAAGACAGACACTGCTGCTGCTTCCACTGCCTGCACTGCATCAAACCCAGTTTTTCGGAGGGCTGACAGCAGGGCAGGGAGGGCTGACAGTAGAGCAGGAGTGGGCTGGTGCGGCCAAGCCTTTGGCACCCACAGGGGCAACGTGGGGGGACTCATCCCAGCCCTCTCCACGCTGCGGTGGGTCACAGCACGTGGCATCCCCTCCCTGGCGTGGCAGCGGAGGGCGAAGTCACGCCATGTCCTGACGCGACCTCTCCCTCTCCAATAAATAAGTGCCAATGTTTCAGAGGAAAGCTGACGTGTGCTTGTTTGCAGGAACAGGCCTGACACGAGCACGGGAGCTGCTTTGTATCTGCTGGTCTCTGAGCAGGAGTCCTGCTGGCTCCGATGGGTGGCGGGTCCACAGGGAGCCTCCAACCACCCGCATCTGGCTCACTGAGACCTGGAGATGGGCACCAGTGGGCTCCATCTCCACAGTGCTCAGAGAGACAGCATGGGCACCTCTGCATGCAGAGATTGGGGCAGCTGATGGGGACTTTGGGCACACAGGTGACTTGGAGGAGAATTCAGCCAGCCAAGCCACGGCACACTGCTGGGTAGTGGCTTCCTCCAGGACACACCGCCAAGGAGAGCTCAGCCAGCCCTATGTCCATGGAAAAGGCACAGAGCACAATGTGGAGCAACAGAAACACTGCTCTCCTCTCCATTCTTAACAAGGGACCTGGAAATTTCCATTTAAAGCACGAAAACATCCTCAAGCCCAGGTATGTTCAATCGATTTCAAGGGAAGGCAGATGCAAGGAATCCCGCGAATGGCCCAGCGGAATAAAGCCACAGCTAAAAATACACACAGATGATCTGCCCTGGTTATGGGGATTTGATGTGGAAGAAAGCTAAATTCTGTTGGTACAATAACACATCCCAGAGGTGCAAATTAAAGCCCTCAAGGATGCTGTGTCACACAGCTACCACCTCCAAGGTGCCAGACCCGGCAGGGATCAGCTTTCCCCTGCAGGGGAGAACACTACAATTGCTCACAGGGTTTAATTCAGGAGATCCCCAACACCTGCATCACTGTCATCCTCCAGCAGCAAACGAGGCATCCATCACAACCCGATTTCCCCAGGTAGTTCTGTGTCACTCTGCCACCACGCAGCTCCTGGAGAGGGGATGACCGGGGCTGGAAAACACAGCCCACCCCGCACCCGAGCACCCTGCAGCCAAAATGGTCCCCTGAGCTCCCCATGGCACCCTCCAAACGCTCTCGGAGATTTTGGCCATCATTACTGTTCTCAAACATTGCTCTGTCTCTTCAAGGACTAAACACACTTTTGAAAATAGGGCTCAAATGCTTCTGACAACGCTGCCCACTTGTTTGTTCTCAGTTTAATCTACGGACAATACCGAAAATGTTAATTCCCATTTCCATACATCCTTTCAGAAACGGTACAGTTTGCACTCACAGTTGAAATTTTGGCTTGGGGGTGTGTGGGTTTTCTGTGTTTTACTGCAAGGATTTCCCAAAAGGTACTTTTTCACCTGCAATTTCACAGCTCAGCTCTGGAGGCAAGATAAAGTGGTTACACTCAGCACACACTCCAGGGGCAGGAGGCACCTGGATATGGAATATCATCTGTGCCTCTATAATCCAAGTCACCTAAAACCCTCCCAAATGCAGCTACAGCCTCACAGTTCAGGATCTGACCGCAGTGACGAGCAGCTTCTCTCTACTTTTCCCCTGCAGAATCTGTACAGTCACCTTTTCTTTTCTGGAAATCAATTACTTGTCCAGCAGAGTGTAGCAAGAGGGGATTACAGGTCATGTTTTCCATAATTATCCTCCCTGACACCGAGGAACTTTCAAATCGTACGCGTTAAGTAGGTCACAAGAGGGAACAGCAGCGTGATGGGCATTTAGCATCAGCCAACCTGAATTTTGAGAAAATCAGATACAGTCCATTGCTGACCTGCATCCCAACCCCTCATCCATATGCAGCCCGGTGGTGAGAAAAATATATAGACTTCCCTGATGAACCATAAGCTAAAATTAGAAACCATTCACGCCTGCAAAGCCACAGCTATCGCCAAAAGGAAAGTAGGTCACAGAATGGCTGGCTAACTTGATTTTCCGGCGTTTCTAGCTGCTCTGTCCTCATGTAACCTCTCCTCTCCCATGGACCGTTTCTGGTCTCTCCTTTGTTCAGGGTATAACTGCACGCAGTGTGCGGCTCCGGCCCAGCCTGGCAGGAGCGGTGGGAACGGGCACGGCAGCACCCGCGTGCTTGGTGAAGCACAGACCCATGGTTCATGAAAAATTAAGCCAGAGCCAGGCAGAAAGTCCCTCCACGAAGCCACCGGCTCCCACCTGCTCTGGGATTGACACAAGGGCTGGCTTTCTGCCCCTTCCACAACACTGCTCTTTAAAAGATCATTTCAGGCTTTGCCAGCTCTTCTGAGGCGCTTTGCTCTCTCGCCTCCTCCCGAGGCCTGAATATCCTCTTTTTATTTGCGTTTCTTACTGTGCGCTGCCTCCCTCAAGCCACAAGCCAAGAGATGCGAGTAAATCCGGCTTTCCTTCCCTTTGTGCATGGGCTGGAGCCCTGGCTCAGCTGCTACCAATGCTTTTCCTGCAAGCAGACCTCGAGGCATCAACTTCACTGCTTTTCCACAGCACAGAAGAGGCAGAAAGGCTTAAAATTTGGCTCAGCGACCTTCTCCACTCCAGATCAATATGTCTCTTATCTGGCTCACGGCCCTATGCTGCCACCAACTCACCTTGCAATTAAGCATTAAGCTGCAGCAAAGCCGCAGGTCAGCACAAGAGTGCCCAGGGCTCTCCCATGACTGACAGACAGCTGGGTATACCTGCAGGTTCCACTGCCACCAAACCCACTATCCAACCACCAGCCACTGTTTTCTACCCATGATCTCAACTGATGCTGCTCCCAAGTCCTGTCCTCTTCTACCTTTTCTTCTCCCGTCCCCACGGAAAGGGAATTCAACACCAAACTGCATCCCAACTGTGTCCAATATGTGAAAGGCCAAAAGCTGGGATGTTCTTTAGAAGGACAATTCCATTGTGTATCCCACCTTTGTTACTGGAGCCACAATGAAGGCAATGCTCAGCACACCCTTCCCTTGCAGCCCCCAGCTTGGCATGTCCCAGTTATGGTACTTGAAAGGTCCTTCAATCACTAATCAGCCATCACAGTGGGCCAGCAAGGCTGTCACCTCTCCATTGCCCATGGATAGATCCTGTCTTCTCCAAAGGAGGAACCTCCCTGCAGCCTGCTGTGGTTTCTATCAAGCCAAAAGGAAGGTTGTTTGGTTTAAGTCTCCTACCCACAGTCAGGCTTGTTACACGCTACACACAAGGGGATTTTACAAGAACGGGGAAGAATCATCCTTCACCCGTCCCAGGGAACACTCAGACACAAACATGGAGCCAGGTTTGAAATTATGCAGACATCTGGTGTCTGACATGACCTTCACTTGCTGAGCTCCCACCTGGAACAAGTGCACCTATCGTGAAGGTTAACAGTGAAACCCTGGCTTGGGCAGAGACAAGAGGTGACAAAGCAGGACACTCAGCCCTGAGCCAGCTCCAGCTAACAGGAACTGCTATGACACAGCCTGTTAGGGATGTGATGGTTGAAGATCTCCTTTCCCTCCTGCCTCAGCACCATGACCCATTTCTTCCCCTTGTAACACGGTCCAGCAACACAAGAGTGTCCAAGGAGGATGAGGCTCAAGGGAACAGGAATTAAAATGTCTGAGAGCTCCTTTCTTTGAATCTCACCCCTTGCACAGGAGGCACGAGCCATCGAGCCCAAGACCCCCAGAGAGGGCACTTGGTGGTGAGAATGGCTCTGAGGAACACTCAGCATCTGCCCCCAAAGCCCAGTGCTGTGAAGCTGGTGCTTCCTAATGCTTCAAACACATGGACCTCAGCCTTCACCCACTCGCACAACAGACCGTGCCACTGCTGGGTTTCCTACTGCTCAGGGAGAGAAGCAGATGGAAAAAGGAAAACCACAAAAACTGCACTGCCTGGGAGCGCAGGGTAGGCGATTTTTTTTCTTTTTAGGAGTTGGGCACCTGGATTTCTGCAGCTCCCAGTGAAATCGCAGGCCTCGCAATTCAAAATAATTAGCGACTGGTAGTTTTCCTTTTATGCAAAATCATCCTTTTTATCCAACACCTAAATGAAAATGAATATGCTTGATTATCTACCAAAGGGCCCAATTTCCAAGCATCGCTCCGATGCACACAGCAAAATTCATGTCTCCTCAGGCTGCTATTACAGGCAACGGCTGACAAATGAGCGGTCAAGGCAGAGATCCAGAGCCAGGGATGCCAGCCTGACCTTTGCTAATGCTATTTACAGCATCCAATATCCACAAATCCAGCCGTGGCTGCATCCACATCCCTTATGCTCCAGCCTGGGGGCCCCAAGGGCAGCCAGGAGAGCTCGTAGCTGGTCTGCCAGTATTGGAGCACCACAGATGTCCCCCTCCGTCCACGCAGACCACCCCACCACGCCAAAGCTCATCCCATGAGACAGCTTTCGACCAGGTTCACTCCCAGGGGAGAGGATGAAACAAACTATTTTACAGAGAGGAGTCTGAAGCATCTCCTGAACACTTCATATCTAAGGCTGATTGCAGAAAACCCCCAGGCAGGTTCTTTGGAAGACTTTAGTGCTCATCCACAAAGGCAGAGCGAGCTCCTCATGGCTCAGCCCTCTGTGGTCACTGTACTGACAGGGCTCCATCTATCCCCCTCCCATGGCCTCCACCCCAGGGGTAACGCCCAGGAGAAACCCCCACCCGGCTCTTACCAACCTCCCATCCCTGGCCAGGGTGACACGGCACGATCACGCGTTCGTACTTCCATCGTTTCGGACTCACCCTGTTCTCGTCGTAGATGATCTGCACCAAGCTGCGATGTTTGGACTCGATAGGAGGAGGGGAGATGGGTTTTTCAGGCTCTGGTGGTTTGGCTGCTTCTTCCTCCAACTGTTGCTGTGGAAGAAGAGGGGGGAGGAGGAGGGTGAGTCACAGCAAGAAACGCATCCGTCCTCGTCCACACGAGACTCTCTGTGATGCCGCGACCGAGGCAGAAACCGCGATGGCAGGAGACTTCCTGTGAGACATGGGCAGGTTGGGGCTGTGGAGGGACAGGGAGAGGGAGGGGAGCTGCACAGCAGCCCCTGCCATGCAAGCGCAGTGCTGGCCTGCCCCAGGCACTGGCCCCGTGCTGGTGGGCTGGTGAATTTTAGGCATGGAGGTTGAGGGCCTGCCTCAGAGGAGCCCCCTGGAGCGGGCCTGAGGCTGGAAATAACGATTTCACTGGAAGCCCTTAAAAGAAACAAAGCTCCAGCCCAGCTCCCTGCTGCTACCTGCCTCTGGAGCTGCTGCTGCGTGCATGGACCGGTGGAGGAGCCAGGGGTGACCAGCAAGGCTGCTCTCCACCTTTGGCTTCCCTTCCAATGGAGCAGCTGGAGGAGATGCCTCAGGATAACTGTTCTCAGTTAAATGAGCTGGGCACCAGCCACCCCTGTGCTTTAGAATATCACTGTGATCAGCAGGTAAACCTGACTTTCCACCTGCACCTCCGCCTCTCCCAGCACTGCGATGCAGGAGGAGACATCCAAGCCCTTCCTGCAAGTTAGAGGAACTGCTCAGCTGAAAGAAGAAATCACAGATTCCTCCAGGTTCCTCCTGGGGCCAGCCTGGGAGGAGGGAGAGCGCAGCCATGCACGGCAGCTGTGGGGCAGCACAGGCACGGGAGAGGGAGCAGCTGTCAAAAAACACTGAGGATTTTTTTCACTGCTCGGTTCTGAATCTCTGGAAAGTACAAATCATTTTTTTTCCAGTATCCCCTGTTGGAAGTATAGGAAAATCAAGTGAGTCTTGTACTAGGAAGAAAATGCACCTGGGACTTGGCTTGCACCAGAGGCAAGTGCACCACTGACCTCCCAGAGACAGCAGTGGCTGGTGGTCTGAGAAGAAGGCGGGCACCTACTGCTCCTCCAGATCATCTCTGGTCCTGCTGACAACACCTTTAGCACACTAAGGCAGTAGGATGCAGCCCAAGAACGCACTTAAGCACCCAGATAGGTCTAATGGCTCAGCTGAGAAAACTCACACACCTTAAATTAAGTGTGTTTCAATAGATGAAGGACCCCACGCTGTGGGCTCCACCTCCCCACAGCTGGACACCTTTTCCCACAGAGAGAAAAGCAGAAGCATGGGGAGCACTGAGATATAGTCAAAAGAAGCTGCCATTGCCAGCCACAGTGGGGAGCAGGCTCTGAAAGAGTCAGGAGGGCCCAGGTCCCACACATTAACATCACCATGCCCACCTGGGGGTCTTAACCAGGGGGTTACTCCAGCCATGAGTGAGAAGCTTTCTGTGAAGCCACAGCTGAAACCATGTGCTGCAAAGCTGTACTCGGGCACCTGCCTGCTCTTCCTTGGTGTCCTAGGGCACCCTACCAAACACCCTGCAGGACAAACTCCAAAAAGCCCAAAGGACGAACCACCAAAAGGGATCAGATGCATCTTCTACTTCTCTTGGGGGAAACATTTGTGTTAAAAAAAAAAAAAAAAACAAGAAAAGTCAAAGCATCCAAAACTTGGCTATATTGTTCTAGAAACCCACAAAAATTTTGCCAAGTGTGTGGTAAGGGATTTCAGACAAGCGGGTTTGATGGCCTATCAGGAAACGAAAGTTTGCCACTAAGTGGAGACTCATTAAATGCAGCTCGTTAGAAGGAAAACTACAAATCTAATTATAGCTGAAATACAGTAGAGAATTAAACTCTACTCTCTTTGGTGAAGAGCTGTATGGTTATTAAAGGGCCAGACGCTGGAGGTAAGGATGGGAGGAGGGGTTGGGGGCAGCACACCTGACTGCAGCAGGCTCAGCCCGCAACAGCTACTCCTGAGAGCCATGGGAAATGGCAAAGCAAAATAGGTCAGGGTTCCCAGACAGGGACAAAATAGATTTCTTAAAGGTCTGCCATAAAAGTCAGGCTGGGACTGTGACCTTTACAGGGAGAGAAGCAGGATGAGAGATGAGTCTTGACAGCCCCACACTCTCTCCCTCCCCATGCCCAGCAGCGGCCGCCTGAGAGCCCCCTCCTCTCCCCAAATGGAAGACAATGCAGTAGTGTTGAGGGGAGGCAAGATGCCATCACTAGCCAGAGCCCTGGCTCCCACAGGACCCAAAGGCCAACCCACTTCCAAGTGGAAAAGGTGCTCTCTCCAGGTAAGAACCCCTTGGGCTGGACCACACGCTGCAGAGGGGCCACTGGAGACTGCAGAGCTGGCAGAAATGTGGGTGGCATCTCAGGAAGATCCCATCCCTGCACCTACCAGCTCCCGTGCTGGAGGCACCTGCCTGATGAAGCCAAGGTTGTTCCACGTGCACCCAGTTGCCATCACCTGGGTACTGGGATGCTTCACCTGCCCAGGGAATGGAGAGGCTTCCAGACACAGGGCATCTCTGAAAACCACTTTCAGAGAGACAAGGGGAGAACAGAGGAAACTCAGTCAGAAGCAAGATGGAAGGGGAAACCCTGGAGCTCTTCTACCCAGCCGGCTCCACCTCCATCACCAGGTGGGAGTGTTGTACTCCCGGAGAGCCCTTTGCTGAGCTCGGCGCCCAAGGAGGCTCAGGCGCCACTGCAGAGAACAGCCCAGCAGTTTATTTCTCCTTCAGATCCACGGTACTGCTGCCAGGAATAAATGCATAAGGATTATCCTTCCCTGTCAGGAAGAGGGGGAGAGAGGACTCAGCGAGAGATTTAAGCGCATATGGTGCATGAATGAGCGGGGGATGGCTGACAGAGGTGGCCTCCTGCCAGGGGTGTGCAGGGTTTGGGGAAGGTTTCTCAGCTTGCTGAAGACATTTGCTTCTTGCAAAGTCCAGGCAGAGCCTTCCCTGCCATTTCTGGAACAACCAAAAAGAGAAAGATGGCGGTTTGGGGTCGGTTGGGATTTTTTTTGCACAGCCTTTCCATACGAATGTATTTAATTACCCTGAGAAGGCCTCCCAAAGACAGAGGGGAAAAGCATTAGGACATTCCGGCTGCATGCAATTTCTCCCCTGCTCCACCACCATTTCTGCAGGAGCAGTATCTGTTCCAGGCTGATTGCTTTCCCTTGTTCGTCCCCCTGCACTGACAGCTCAGATGCACAGATGGACAAAACGTTCCTGGACCATCTCAGACAGGACCTCCCGCTCCAAAACACTTTTCCCCAGATGTGCCAGCTCTGCTGGAGGACCGGGATGGAGAAGGCTCCAGCCAGAGGGGAAAGGAGGCCATATTGGGGGGGTCAGATTTGCTACCAAATGACTTTTCCACCACGTGCCAAAAAAGAAAAAATAAAAATAAAATAACAAAGGAGGGGAGGGGACTCTTTTCCTGCCAACAACCACTTTCACCTTCCTCTCCATTTAAGAGAACATTTTTGTGGCGAAGAAGAATCATAAAATTTGTTCATAGGGAAGAAGTAAAGCTACCAAGGAGCCAACAGTAAAAAAAAAAAAGTTTCCTTACAGAAGGACAGCTTGATTTTAACAGCAAGGAGCATATGCTCCGTCAGCGTCAGCAGCAGCTCCTCAGCAGCCCTGAAAAGTCAGGCAGTGGATCATCAAAGTTGTCAGGCCTTCCCACTGCCATGAAAGGGACCTTCACTGCCATGACAGGCACGTATCCCACTCGGGAAGCCTTTGTCCACAGTAGGAAATAACCATGGTTTGCACCTCCTTCCTCAAATGGACCAGCAGCCGGACTGCCAGGTGGGACAGGACACCAGCATTTTGTCAGAGACTCCTAGGAGGGGGAGGGGAAGAGCTGCCTTCCCCCAGCTCCCACCAAAACCAACAAGAGGAACCTCTGTGGTTTCCATTGCTCCAGGTGTTCCTCTGGGCTCTGTGAGCTGCCACACAGGGCTGCTTCCTCGCACCCCCAGCACAGCTGCATCTGCCCACTCTTGGTTCCCTCTCCCTAAGCACTCTGATACCACTGCAGATATAAAGCAACACACAGGAAAAAAAGGGTCCTTTGCATTAATTAAACCATACTGTTTGAAAGCAAAACCAAAACATCCTGCTTTGTCTTGCAGGGCAGAAGGGAACAGTGTTTTGGTATGGAAAAACACAGAACTGCTGGGGAAGGTCAGCTGCATGCTCATCCTCCAGGAGCTTCATCCAACAGACCGTGTAGAGGTTTTGCTCCATTCCCAAATTCCTACTGCATGCCCCTTGGGAAAGGTGATTCCTCTCAGGCAGTTTGGGATTAGCAGTAATCAGGGAGTTCGGAAACCGGCCCCAAGCAAAGAAAATAAAACAACTAGAAAAAGACAGACAGAGAAGTGATTTGCTTTAAGTAGAGAAAGCCTTTAAGTCTTTGGGTTTTTTCACAGATGTCCCCAAAGGTTTTGTCATATTAATCTCTTAATGGGTTTATGGTAATTGTGTACAGGCCAACACTGAGAGGCCCATCCTTCTGGTGGGGAGTTCTCCTGTGTAGCAACCAGGAAGTTGAAATCCCTGGCTCAGGCACAACCCAGACTGGAGCTGGCCCAGACTTGCTCATGGCTGCAGAGCTGGAAAGCCCTGAAGATGGGGACTGGGTGCACAGGAAGGGCCATGAGGATGTCACAGCAATGTTTTGAACAGCCCAGTCCTGAATACTGCCAGCAACAGCACTGGGGAGAGACAACTGCTGGAAAGGAAAGAGAAAAGATCTTGTGCTATGCTGGGCTGTTCAGACAACTTGGGCAGCCCAGCCTGTGCTTTCAGCTCTGCCACTGACCACGTGCATGCTCATTGGGCAAGTCACCAAGGACATATTTTTCTCCCTTCAAGGTTTTCTGACAGGCAAAGAGCCCACAAGCTGGATTTCCAAAGCTCCCTCCCTCATCTCGCAGCTACCAGCCCCAGACTGCTGGCACAGCAGTGACCTCCCATGTCATGACAGGGAGCAGGGACACAGATGATCCTGGTTCACTGGTACTGCCACTTCCCGTCTGTGGACATGCATGGGCAAGGACAGGGCATAAGGCGGCACACAGAAGCAAGGACGTGTGCTCTCCTGCAGACTACAGCCTCCTACCTGCTTCTTCTTCAGCTTGGAGATCTGCTGCTCCACCATGGTGATCTCGCGGTCCACGCGGTCCATGTTCTGGATGAGCTCCTCCTTGGACAGCCGGGCAGGCAGCAGGTCCAGCTCGGCGTCAGGGTGAGCAGGGCTCACGGGCGACACGGGCTCCAGTTTGCCAGGCAGGCCACGATCCTGGGGAATGTAAAACAACCAGGTCATCTCTCTCCCAGGAGACTCTGGATCCTTCTCTCATCCTCCCACAGCTCCCTGGCCCATTCCCAGCCTTCTGAGATACACGAGACCCTCAAAAAACCTGCTAGACTAGGAAGTACCAGCTGTCAGATCACATCACCTCCACAACCTCCAGCATCTCCAGAGAGCACCAGGTTACTCTCCCAGGGATGTGACAGCAGCTCTCCCTCCTGCCAGAGCCTCAGAGGCTCCCACCACCTTGAGTCCCTACCTGCAATCCTACAGGATCAATACACACATCCATATCCAGAAGCTCTCAACAACGCTGTCCCTTCATAGGGCTCAGAGCTACATCTTCTCTGTAAAAATGAGGCATCACAGACACATCCTCCTTGGACACAGCCATGGCTGTGAGATAAGAGCAGCATCAACCATGGAGAAGGAGAAGGGGCTACGAGGGCAGCCCTCAGGAGGAAAGACGGCTTCCAGCTCCTTCATGGAAGGCCTCCTCCATCTCTTGTTAAACTCTGGGGGTGCTCCAGTTGTTGGATGTTAAACGCACCCATCCGGAAATGGAGAGAAAGGGCAAAGGCGAGTCAAGATAAAAATAGACCAAACTGACAACTTTTTGCAAATTCCAGGGGAAGAGGCTCTCAGGTCAACAAGAGCCTTCAAGTCAGAGCCTGGAGAGATCAGCAAAACCTCTGTGGCCACGACAGGGAGCGGCTCTACTGGACATGGTCTGGAGGCAGAGGGAAAACCCACCGAAACATTCAACTTCACCCCCAGCAACGCAACAACTTTGCTGAGCCCAACAAGCTGGTATCCCAGGAGCATCCCAGAGCCACGCCACCTCTCCTGCACACCTCCCTTCACCTTTCCAGCTCCAAGAGAAGGAGCCCATCTCCTGCCAATACAAGCTGCACGCCTGGATGAGTCTGCCCACCACGCACGAACGCACCTGGGATGAAGATGATGTTAAAAAGCCACCGGCCACACAGATGGGGATCACGGCACACCACCAGCCTACCCTGACCCGGGATGCTCCTCTCTGGCAGCCACCCAACACCTTAATTAAAAGTTTATCTATTCATTTGCTTAGCGAGTGGATGGATTTCTTTTCCTGGAGGAGGAGGAGGAGGAGCGGTGGCTCCGTTTGTAACCATAAACCGCTGCCAGGCTGGGCAGCCAGCACGTCGCAGCTGCCGTAGGGAGGAGGGGAGGGACGGGGGGGGGGAGGCGAACAAGGGAAGAAGTTCACACAACTTTGCTACCTTCATTACGGCAGCCCTGTACAAAGCCGACATTGTTCTGCACCAACTGGTGCTCAGCGTCCTCCCCTCTGCGCTGACACAGCCGCTGGCAAGCGGCCAGGGCTGACCCTCTGCCCAGGCTGGTTCTCCTGCAGGGCAAGGGTGCCACAAAGGAGCTTGGATGGTGGCTCATGGACCCCTCTGTGCTTCCCCATCTAACAAGGCACATGGATGATGGCCCTGGGTTGTTCACTGGTCATGTTGCAGCTCATGTGGAATGTGGCATGTGCAGATGCCGCCTTGGCCCTGTTCAGCATCTCAGCAGCATCTGCTTACCATGAAGCAGAACCAGGCAGGGTGATCTCCCTCCTGCTCCTGCCCTAGTTGGCATGAAGCATGGTGAGCTCTCTCCTGGGAGGCTCCACCCACAGCCCAGTAGAGCCACAGGGAGCTGGCTCTGAAGGCAGTCCCTGTCTGCAGGGGCTGTGCTGAGATGGGCTCTGCCCTGTTTCCCTCCATAAGGGATGGGCAGCATCATCCACAGCACAGCTGGAACAAGGGGAGGCAAAAGAAGATGGTTCCCAACAAAGCGGCCGTGTCCCAGGACACCAGAATCCTTCACTGGCACCTTCCTCCTCCTCTCTCCTGCTAAAGCCTGCTCTAGCTGGAGGAGACATCAAAACATCAAGAAGGGAACCACTGCTGGGTGCAGCCCCAAGGCACCAATGCCCTTCTCACTGCTGCCATCAAGGGACAGAAAGCAAAGGAACACCCAAAAGCATCTTCCTCACTGTCTTGCCTGGGGCTCATCCAGCCCCACGAGCTCAAAGGCACTGGAAAGCTAAGCTAGTTGTATCCAGCATTCACCCAGAAGAGAAAACTACAAGACGAGCACCAAAGCTTTCCAGAGAACCCCAAAGAGCAGATCCCATATTGTTCTACTTTCCCAGCATTAGACATCAAAAATGGTCAGTCTGCTGCAGTGGAAAGGTTTTGTGCTCTCCCCAACTGGGTGTGTTTTGCGGTTTTCTTTTTTTTTTTTCAAGTCGAGAGGAGCAGGACAACCACAAGAAGCAAAAGATAAATTACGTGTTCATAAAATCTCGTTCAGATTAAGGCACAGGAAGAGGAAGTGGCAGTGGCTCGTAGGTGGGTAGGTTTTTCTAAAGGAAAGCAAGCTACCTGCCAAAAATGTAAGAGAGACAGGTTCCTCTCTGTGCACATGAAACAAATGGCACTCTCACATCTCTGCCAATACGTAAGACAGGGCATTTTTAAACTTTTACTTGGCAAAAAAACCCTTTGAAACCTCCTTCCTGATACACTTTTATCTTTTTACCTTGCAGAACATGAAGCAAAAGAGAAGCAAAGCTAAGTAAGGGAAATAGCTTCAAGTCACAGCATAAACAACATGATCATCATCATCTGGTACTAGGAGATGATTATAGCAATGGAGAGAGGCAGTGTCCCTCACATAACTGGGTGCTGTCATGTCACAAGCACCTCTCTAAATCAAGGGAACGACAAGCAACAAGAGGAAGAAAAAACCAAAATTGAAGGCAAAAAAAAAAAATCTTGCCCATGCAATGACATCCAAAAAGAGCTCCCAGATTTATGCAAGGCATGAAGCAGCCCTTCTTCTAAATCACAAAAATGGGTTGAAAAGAGGTTTGCAAAGACCAGAGTCCACCCAGAGCCTGGGGCAGACTCCAATTGTCAGAGACATTTCAACTTGTGCTCTGTTTCCTACTGCTCTCAAGAAATGGCTCAAAATATATTCCCCTGCTCCAGACGGTGTCATACCCGGGCTCTGAACAAGTGCAGTGTGAAACGTGAAATTCTTCTTATTAACGTGAAGTCACAGACTTCCAAACCAGCAAGAGCTGGGAGAGCTGGAATAAATCTGCTGGAGGGAAGAAAACAATTACCACATTACTCAAGTTGATATTTTCTCAGTAATTATACTGTTTCCATGTGATTTGTTTTTACACACGGCTAACAGCTACTGCAGCTCCTGTTTATCCCTGGCCTTGTTCTGTGATTTATATGATAACAAGGGTGGGTGTGGGGGGGACAGAGGCTGCATAAACCTCCCTGCAGCAAGAGGAGGTGCTGGCACTGAAGAAAACAATTATCACTGAGGAGGCTGTCAAAGAGCAAGGCCAGGCTTTGGGGTGGGTTTCTTCTACATGCTTGGGGATAAAAATTCCCAACATAGATAATGGAGCAAGCCAGCTACAAGCTATTAGGCAGTGACTTTAAAAATATGAGAGAAAGTGGGGAAACAAAAAGGATAAGACAACTGCCTGTTGATGCCTTGGTAAATTTGACATCTCTGCCTTCAGACACACCAGCAACTAGGTCCACAGGAAAAAATACAGTGGGAACTCCAATCCTGGTCCCAGGACACAATGCTCCACACCACTGCTGCCTGCTTATTTTGCATTACGGACCCACCGCATGATAGTCCCAGGGAGCTCATGGGAGTTGCTGGGATGGAGAAGGGCATCTGTGCCATGTTTCAGCTCAGCACCTACAGCTGGATGCAGCCCAACCTCCGTGAAGGGTCAGCTGCTTCCCACCCTCAGGGGATGGCAGATCAGGAGCTCCTCTCCATCCACACCTAACTCTCGCTGCAAAACGCATTTTGACCTTGCTGATGCCTTGACTGCACCAGCTGCCTCTTCAAAACTCCACGGTGGAGATTTCCAGCCTCCACACCCCCTCAGTGCGTACAAATGAACAGAGTCACTTGCTTGGGACAACCTCAGGATCTCCTGCACAGCACAGTGTTTGCCCTACATATCATCTTCAGGAAGTCCAGGTCTCCCCCTGCCTTTCTAATCCAGATCATTAGCGATGTTCCCCCAAGCCCAGGACAGAGATTTAGGGAAGCCAACATCATCTCTTCCACAGTCTGTTCACTTTCTAATTATCAGCCGGCAGCAGCAGCGTTTCCTGCTGGAGCACCAGGAGGGATTAAGAGGTGTTATCTCCAACTCCTGCCCACTCGCACATCTCATGTCCTCATGGGTTGGAGAAGATTGCCAAAGCAGGCAGAATAGGCTGGGGCTGCTCAATTTGTGCTCAAATTAATTCCCAAAAAAACCCATATGAATTTGTGATTAGTGGGCTCCCTCTGAGGGGGACACCTCCGTCACCAGAGCCTCTCACAGCAGCACTGAGCCAGTGAACATCCCAGCATTCCACCAACCAACACTCCTCCCAAAGCCCCATCCGTGTGAGACTGTGCCCCATGGCAGAGCCAGCAGCTCATCCTCCCCGTTCAGGAGCCCACGGATGAGCAGCATCGAACTCAGAGCATACAATGAGCCCTGGGGCTTTCCCACACTCCCTGGGACAAGAGCTGAGCAGGAAAGACAACACCCCACACCTCCATCCATCAGGTTTTCAGGTAAAAACATGCATATAAAACTTTTAAATGGGCCAAACGCAAACCGAAGGGGTCTTTTTTTTTTTTAATTGGAAAAGTGTCCAACACATTCTGACATATCAGCAGCCTCAGGATGACAGCACTGACGGGGGAAAATGTTACAGGGGCTGAAAAATAACGTGTTGTCTCTCTGGAGAGACGCACAAGTACGAAGTCAGGGAGCCCGAGCAGTGAAAAGTACATCGAGTTACTGCAACTCTTTTGTTCCTGGCCATCTGCTGTGCTAATGGCTCTTTCAGCAGCCCAGCCCTTCAAACGAGGTTTTAATTCTTAAATACTGCTGGGCTCTCGCT